CCAGCTGCCTGCAGGACTTCTCCACCTGGAGGTCCCCACGGCACCTCCCACTCAGTGTGGTGCGGGTTTTCTCCCCAAACCCCACCGAGGCTAGCACTGACCTCCCCGTCACAGGTTCACATGCTTGGCGTCATTTTCTGCTCTCTCAGGTTCAAGCTTCTCCACTGCCTGTCCCCTTCTTGCCAGTCACACCACTAGCACCCAGGACAGGTCCTCATCGCTGCTCACCTCCTACCTGGGCTTCTGTGATCATTCCCTCTCAAACCTCTTTCTCTAGGAAGCCTGTTGCTGCCACCACAGCCCACCGCTTGTCTCCAGTGTGGCACAGAGTGGCTGGTGGGCAGTCTCACTCCCCCATTAGACTGGGAGCTCATTTGGAGCAGGGACCATTAGCATTGTTGAGTTACAGGGTTGGGTTTGGGGGTATTTGGTGCCTTTCTTTGCATCCCAGTGAGTGGCACATGGTGAGCACTGAATCAATGATGGCGGACCAGCTTATGCCTGCCTGCAGTGCCACCCCTCTCCAGCCTTCCTGCTGCTCTCCAAAGGATCATCTCAAAGACCACATCAGACCATCATGGCTTTCTGGATGAAGGGACTCCTTGGTCTGACTGAGGCTCCAGCTTACTCTGGCTTTTCTTTTTGCTTTTGTGCTCTTAGGATAAGATGGGCATTTCTGCATACATTGTAATGTAGAAGAGGGAATGGGGAAGAGCCAGTGAAAATGTCCATTTTGGGGAAGTAGGGTGTGTTGCATGTTGACCTGTGTCGGTGGAGGACCAGCCATAAGGTATGAGAAGACTGGGAAGATGGGGGCAGGGAAATAGGTAACAAAAGGCTTTGAATGCCAGGCAGAGGGCTTTATATTTGATCTGGAGGGTGATAAGGAGCCTCTGGGGTTTATTAAACAGGGTCCCAGCTGCACTTTTAGGAAGGTCACTTTGGAGGCTGAATGGAGGATGGACCAGACTGGGGAGAGCCTTGAGGCCAGCAACCTCCCAGCAGCTATGGCCATTGTCCAGGGGTGAGGGAATGAGGCCAGTACGGTGGGGAGAGAATGGATTGGATGTGAGAGGTGAGAGTGAGGGTCCAAGGGGACACTCAGGTGCGGAGCCTGGGCAACTGGGAGGAGGGTGGTGCCCTCCTCAGTAATAGGGAAGGTGGGGATGGGGGGGAGAGTTTAGAGGGATAAGATGATGAGTTCTGTCTTGGATGTGTTCGGTTTAAGATGTCCAAAAGGCAGCTGGAGATGAGAGATTGGAGGTGAGCAGAGAGGTGAATAAATGTGGTTAATACATACTGGATAAGGAAATTTAAAAATCATCAGTGTGGAGATGATAACAGACTCCATGGCAGTGAAATAGCCTAGAGGGAGAAAAGGGAAAGGTCCAGGATGAGTCCTGACCCCACCTGACCTTCCCCAGCCATTATTTGTAAGAGAAAGGATTATTTCTCTCTTATAGCAATAATCAATCATTGAATTAGGACCAGGATTTTTTTACTTTTCTATTTCCTTGTTCAGAAATCAGCCCCTTGTAGGTTATTCAACTAGCATCTGAAGGACTTGGCTGGTGATGAGATTGGATTAACTTTCTCCCCAGTCTTGTTCAGAGCCCACCCAAGTGGGGAAGCCCATTGTGTCTGCCTGGGCTTAGGTAGGGGGTAGATCTTTTGTCTAGATTGCCCTGGCCTGTGGGTGGTCTGAGAGTAAAAGGGAGTCATCAGTCATGACCTGCCCCCAGCCCCTCATTAGAATAGGCCCACCTCTCATTATAATACCCGTTCTTCTCATTAATTGTTAACCAATCAGAGTTGAACGCCTTCTGTTGGGAACACTCCCTCTTCCAAAATCACATAAGCATGAAGAGGCTGCCATGACCCGTCTTTGGTTCATGAGAGGCAGCCAGAGACCGATCCTGTTATTAATTATCTGCTAGCATGGAACATAATATTCCAGAGGGCAAAGGAGATAGGATTACAACCAAGAATCACCTACCCAGCAAAACTGAATATAATCCTTCAGGGGAAAAAATGGTCATTCAGTGAAATAGAGGACTTTCAAGCATTCCTGATGAAAAGACCAGAGCTGAATAGAAAATTTGACTTTCAAATACAGGACTCAAGTGGAACATGAAGAGGTAAACAGGAAAGAGAAATCATAAGAGACTTATTAAGATTGAACTGTTTGCATTCCTGCATGGAAAGATGATATTTATAACTCATGAGACCTTTGTCAGTATCAGGGTAGTTGGAGGAAAAAAATTATATGTATGTATATGTAGATAGATAGATAGAGGGCACAGGGTGAGTTGAAGATTAAGGGGTCATATCTGGAGAATAAAATTAAGGGATGAGAGAGGATTATACTGGAGAAGAAGAAAGGGAGAGGTAGAATGGGGTAAATTATCTCACAAAAAAAAACAGAAAAGTCTCTTACAGTGGAGGGGAAACAGGGGAAGGTGAGAGGGAATGAGTGAATCTTATTCTCATAGGATTTGGCTTAAGGAGGGAATAACATACACATTCAATTGGGTATGGAAATCTGTCTTACCCTACAGGAAAATAGGGGGAAAGGGGACAAGAGAGCAGGGGATGATAGAGAGGAGGGCAGATTGGGAAAGGGGTAATCAGAAGTAAATACTTCTGAGGAGGGACAGGGTCAAAAGAAAGAATAGAATAAATGGGAGGGCAGGATAGGATTAAGGGAAATAGAGTTAGTTTTTCACAACATGTCTACTATGGAGTGTTTTGCATAACTGCACATGTACAACTATATTGAGTTGCTTGCCTTTTCAATGGGTGGGTGGGGAGGGAGGAAGAGAGAAAATTTGAAACCTACAGTTTTAAAAACATATGTTTAAAAAAATGTTTTCACATGCTACTGGGAAATAAATATAGGAAATGGGGTACAGAAGTCTATCCTGCCCTACAGGAAAATAGAAGGGGAAGGGGATAAGAGAAGGGGGGAAGAGACAGAAGAGAGGGCAGAAGAGGGGAAGGGATATTCAGAATGCATGCCATCTTGGGGTGGGGGGAGGGGGGAGATGGGGTGAAAATTTGGAACTCAAAAACTTGTGGAAGGGAATGTTGAAAACTAAAAATAAATAAATTTATATTAAAAAAAATTATCTGCTAGCAATAATCAATAAAATGATTGATTACCCAGAAATGATGTCTCTGGACCTTTTTATGTCACACTTGTGACATGGGTTTCTTTAGGTGCCCGAGTATAAGATTTCACATTTTTGCCTATTGAATGGAAACTTTCTGGCTACAGGAAGCAGACTGGGTATGACTGGGCACAGCCAGCAGGGAATGACTGGTCACCATTCTGATCATAACTCTGAGCTCTCTTTATTGCCCAGGAAGTAAAAGGGAAAGTCAGACCTGTAGATCCACTGGACAGGGAAGGACCCTCGAGGCCAATTTTTTTTTTTAGGTAATTGGGGTTAAGTGACTTGCCAAGGGTCACACACCTAGTGTGTCAAGGGTTTTAGTCTGCAGCCCAGTTTGAATTCAGGTCCTCCTGACTTCAGGGCACTGTGCCACCTAGCTGCCCGAGGCCATTTTACAGAGGAGGAAACTGAGTGCGAAAAAGGGGAAGAGGTCAATCAGAACTAGGAAGCCTTTGCATTCTTCTGAAAAAAAAATGAGCATAGACCCGGGGCTCCTTCTCCTCCAGCCACTCCCTCTTGTTTCTTCATGGGTGGGAGGGAGGACAAGGCGCACCATCTTGGGGTACTGTGTGGCTGATGAGGACAGAGATGGGGGGAGACCGAAGGGCCTCTGAGGAGCCCTGGACCCAGGCAGTGGAGTGGGGTGAAAACGGTCTGAAGACCAGGGTCCTAATTTCCAGGTCAATTACTGGTCAGCTGATTGACTTTGGGGCAGGCACCAACACCCTAGACTCTCTCTTTCCCCTGTCAAGATAAGTCTCTGTTCTTATGGACTTTAGGACCTTCTTGAGAAGACTCTCATCCTTCTCTGGTCTGGATGTGATGCTTGGGGGTGGGGTGTCACAAGGGGAGAGCTTGGGGCCAATGAGAACAGTCATGCCCCACTAGGCACCACATTTGCTTTATCTGGGAGCCACCTAGGAGGCTGCACTAGGCCGTTGCCTCAATTTTAGTGCGGCACCTCTCTGGATACAGACTCACTAAAAGACTCAATCTGAGAAATAGTTCTTAATTAATATTAATTAATTATTATTACTGTGTTAGGCTCAAGTGATACTAAGACCAAAACAATACTGACCCTGCCTTTAGGGAGTTTAGCTTCTACTGGGGAGAGTCGAAGGTCTGCAGTAGAGTGCCTTAGGCAAGGTAGCATTCTCATCCAGGACTGGGATGGAGGAATAGACAATAGAGTTCTCAAATTTGTGTATGATGAAGCTAACACACTGAATGATAGCATTGGGAACTGAAATGATCTAAGCAGTCTCCAATGACAGGCAGAAATGCTTCTCAAACGGATTCATGCTCTCCTCAGTTGGGGAGTGCCCTCCAGTGAGGCAGATTGCATCCTATCCCTGCCTGCTCATCCTGTGTCACCCACATCAATGTCCTCCCATGACCAGACTAGATTTGATCAGGATAAAGGTGATCCCTGCTCTCAGATCAATGACAGTCACCTTTCTCCAATGAGATGGGGGAGGTTTCATGAAGAAAATGATCCCTGGTGGATGCAGTACAATCTCAAAATGGAAACAAAATCTGCATCAAAGGATTTAAGTTCAAATCCCAGCTCAGGCCTAAGGCTTGTGGGCCTTGGTTAAATCACCATCAGTTTTCTCTTCTGTAAAATAAGGGAGAGGGACTCACTGACCTCTTCAGCTCCCCCCACCCAGGTCCATAGTGGTGGTTTGTGAGTTGTGAGTTGGGACAGCTCCGTTGACCAGCAGCAAAGTCTGCGAAAGGGTTCTTGAATGGTTTCTTGGCCGAAGACTTCGAGGCAAATACAAAAGAGATGGGACTCCAAGCATGATGGAAAATGGAGTCAACTTTATTAGAGCACAGCAGGCTGTTTTATATCTTTGACTCATGGGAACATACCCCAATGGAACAAAGTTTACATAGCTTTACCAATGGGCAACACCGAGAATTTTTCTTATATGAATTCCAATCAAAGTATCAACAAGCACATCTCTTTGTAACATTATCTTGGCTGTGTCCTTCTCCTGTGCTGTTCCTGTGAAAACAACGTGTACTTCTTGTTCCCGGAATGTCCCAATACTTGATACATGAGCTAGCAATGCTTGATACATGTTTGTGCTAGAGCTAGCTGTGCTTGAGCTAGCAACATTGTTTATGGTTGAGCTTGCCTAGCCGCCCTTCCTTCCAGGGAGCAGAGAACCGATCCAGGTCAAGGAGCAAGCTCCTCACCTGAGAGGGCTTATACAACCATCAGGGTCAGAGGCCTACTCACCTGTGGTCCTCTACAGCGGTTCTGAAAACTGGTGCCACCTTCTGCTCTAGGGAGAGGTGGAATGTCCTGGATGGGGTGGGGGATTGTCCCTGGTCAGGTTCCACCTGCAGCACTGGGCCCCCCACATTAGGAAGGACATTGGGAGATGGGACTCACTGGAGAGGGTTGATGAATAGGGTGGTGAAGGACTGGAGATGGGGCCACCTTGGCATCAGGTGAAGAACCTGGTGATGTTCACCTGGGAGAAGAGACGACCGCTATGGAATGGGGAAGAGAGGAGACAGAGGAGTTATCTTCAAATGTACTAAGGGAGAGTCAGCCTTTCCTTCTTGAGGAGGTGGAGGGGTATCAGAGAAAGGAACAGGGAAGCTGCAGAGAGGCAGGTCTAGCTAGCTAGACGTCTAAACAAACCTGCTACCAAAGAGGGCTGTCACATCATGGAATGTGCTCCCCACCAAGCAGAGAGAGGCCCTTAGACAACTGGGTCCAAGGAGGACTCTTGGTTGAGATTCACCTTGGACTAACCCCTATTGAGGAGAATGAGCAAGACTTCCTGCTCACTCTCACCTGGTCTGCAAAGAGGCAGAAAGATATAGGAGGGCAATCCAAACGTCTCCCAGGGTGAGACACACGTTGTGTCCAGCTCTTGGCCAGGGCTTGATCCCCTAGGGTTAGGGCAGGAATTGAGTGGGGAAGGGGAATGCCAGGCCTTAAAGGAACCAGCTGCTGGAGGTCAAAGGGCAAGTCACATGGACTTCTGTCTCTTTTCTGTTTCTCTATGTCTCTGCTCTATCTCTGTTTCTGTCTCTTTGTCTCTGGTCTTGTCTGTGCCTTTTCGCTGTCCATCCCCCATGCCTGAAATGCTCTCATCTCTGCCTCCTGGCTTCCCTGGCTTTCTTCAAATCTCAGCTAAAATCCCACCTTCTGCAGGAAGCCTTTCCCAATTCCTCTTAAGGCTCTTAGTCCCCCCCCTTAATCATTTTCAATTTACCCTGTTGAGAGCCTGTTTGGACGGATTTGCTAGTAGTTTTCCCCATTAGACAGTGAGATTCCTGAGGGTAGAGACTACCTAGGGTCTAAAGTCATCTCCTAGGGACTGGGTGAGAGTGCTGTTGGGTCACACCTTCCCGCCCCACCCGGGAGGGGGCGGGGCCGTGCCTAGAACCTCCTCTATTCCCCCTCCGGGGCTGGGAGAGGCGGGACCCGGCGGCTCCAGGGCCAAAGAGAGCTCTACCTAGCCGGCCTGAAGAAAAGGGTCTGGAGGTGGTGCCTACCGGGACTGAGAAGGAGGAAGAGATAGAAGAGGACGAGGAGAGAGAGGGAGCGCCGCCCTCTCCTCTGCCTCTGCTTCAGCCGGGTAGTGCGGGGTGGAGCGCCCACAGACCTAGGACTGAGCCGCCGCTCGGGGTGCGCTTCACGTGCGCTCTCCGTCGCCGGAGCCGGGGTCCATTCCGTCAGAGCTGGGACCATGTGCAGCTCCCGCCTCTGCTGCTGCCTTTTTGTCCTCATTCTGGTCCTCGTCATGAGCCTGCCCAGCTCCCTGGGGCTCCCTGGTGAGTGGGGTGGTGGGGGTGGGGGTGTGGGGCTGGGGAACCTGGGGCAGCGCAGCCTGGAGCGGAACGCTCCTCACCTAGTTTCCCTGAGCTGTTTACTTCTCTCCCCTTGCAAGTGACCGGGTCCCTGGATCGTTCCCCGGGTCCTGGGCCGGATCCAGGGATCTCCAGGCTGAGTCCCTGAACTTTCAGGTTCCGGAGCTGCGTCCTCAGTCATACGGGTCCGAGGTTCGGGAGCTCATGGTGGGTTTGGCTCCTAAGCTTTGGGTGAAGGGAAGTGAGTTAGGCAGGCGGCTCCGAGTGAGCCCTATCTGATACCGTCACCCCTCCCGGGGGTCGGAGCCCTGGATCTGGCTAGTAGGGACCGGAGAGGGGCAGGCACGCGGACTGACTGACAGACAGACAGACAGACAGACAGACAGACAGACAGACAGACAGACAGACTTCCGCAGCAGCTAGGGTGTGTGATCTGTGTTAGGGGAGGGAAAGGTCGGGGGAACTGTGAACTATCCCAAGAGCCCTCTCTTCCGCACCGCCCCCTCTCCCCCCCCGCCCCGGCTTAGCCCCTAAGCCCAGATGGTGGAGGAAAGGGAAGGACCCTTGACCTTTGCTAGTTCCCCTAGTGGCCAGGGACTCTCGGAAGCCACCTTGACCGCCGGCTCTTCTACAGGCATCCTCCTAGTTGGCTGGGGCTTTACTCCAGGCCAATTCTTGGACTTCCCGGAAGATCGGACCTGGGCAGGACCTCAGGACCACCTAGTCAGTCCAAGGCCCCGTTTTTCAGTAGGTCCCAAAGAGAGGAAGGTACCTGCCCAGTGTCATGTAGCCCTCCTTTGGAACTGGAATTCAGGGCTCGAAGCTTCTGTCCAGTTTGTAAGGCGTTAGGGACTGAGTATTCCGGAGAGGGGGGGACTACGCCGAGAATTCCAAAATGGAGGGGGCTGCGGATTCCGAAGGGGAATGTGCTTATAGCCAGGGAGTGATTTCCCCTATCCGCCGTGACTAATCGGCGGTGAATCATCCGGTCCCCTGCGGTGTCAGAGACTGGGAGCTTTCGGGAGGGGATCTCTGCAAATCTAGGACTAACCTAAGTGACTCACTCAACTGAGGGATTTGGGGAAGGAGCCCCGGAGCGTAGATTCTTTCCAAGCCTGGAAGCCCTTCTCTCCCCTCAGAAGTCTCCCCCAGCCCACAGCAAGGGTTGGAAGCATGCTGATAGAAAGGATTGATTCCAAGCCCTCAGAGATTTTGTTGTTAGAGTCTTGACGACTCCCAACTGACCTCCTACACCTGGCCCTGGAATTGTGCCCTTCCCTGGGGTCTGGAGCTTCCTTTCTGTGCAGCTCTGGCCATATACACCAGCCTAGGCCTTGGGCCCGACAGGTGCTGTGTGACCTTGGGCAAGTCACATCCCTTCCCTAAGGCAAGTGGGACCCCTGATCCAGGCATTGGGTACATCTGAGGATTGTGAGAATGGGAGAGGATGATGAATGTTTAGTTTTCTGGGTGTGATTTCTTTATTATTAGTGTGTGTTTGGGGGGTGGGGAGGTTCTGTTTGCCCAGGTTGCTCAGAAAACTCTTGGAAATGGGGGTCCTGCCACTGCCTGGAAAATTCCCATGTTTCTATTACTGCTGAGGGGCTGGGGTGGGGAGGTGAAGGGCAAGGAAGCCTAAGCCCACTGAGCCTGCGGAAAGCCACAAATAGTGGGTAAAATGGGGTCAGTGCTCCTGGAGAAACCTGGGTTTGAAAATCATCCCTCCCAGGGGCAGGTTCCTCATCTGGCTACAGGCTGGCTGGTGTGTGGGAAGGAGTTTGTGCTGGATGTTAGAGCAGCTGGTACCGGCCATTGCCCTGCCCTGCCCCAGGAGGGCAGAACCACAGGATTAGGGTTAGGGTTAGAGTGGCTTCAGGCTGAGCTTCCTCCCTCACCCAAGACTGGCTTGTGTTCCCAACTGTCCTTGTTATTGTATACTTACACCACGGGGCATCTGGGGTGGCAGCTATAACAAGCAGCTAGGTGATTCTTGCAGGGTCTTGCAGCTAGCCCGTGTTGGAGCCCTGGCTCACCTCAGGGCTCCCACTGCCTTGCCCTTCATACTGCCCATACTTCCCATCCCACCACTTTGCAGATACAGCCTATTTATGCTTCAGAAGCAGCTCCCCTCCCTGTGAGCATGAAAGCCCAAATCCTGGGGGGCAGGAACACTGTTTCCCTTTCTCTGTGTCTCTAGCCCTTAACTCTGGAGCTTGACACATAGGAAATGATGAATATAATATATTTCTTGCTGGCCTGAGAGTAAGGTAAATTGGGCACTATTATCCTTAGACTACAGGTGAGTAAACTAAGTTTCAGAGTAACTGTTCAGTGGCCCAGAGCCAGCTCAGTGTGACTTTGGCTAAATCCCTTGTTCCTTGACCACTCCCACCTCCTACTCTCCTGTAAAAGGAAGGGGTGGAATGTGATGTGGTAGGGTGACCAAAGTCGTTCAAGTCCTGAGTTCAAATGCTGGACAGAGGGGAGGGAGGAAGTGGGGGGAAGGGCAGAGATTATGACAAACACTGACAGAGACAGTAACAGAGAGGAAATGTAGCAGAGAGACAGTGGCAGAAACAGAAGGAGAGAGATTATGACAGAGAAGAGTCTAGGTCTCAGTTCCTTCTTCTACTTGGGTTCTAGGATTTTAGCCCTGGGAGGGCTATTACAGATCATTGAGGCCAGCCACCCCATTTTACATGTAGGGAAACTAAGGCCAGAGGTACCCAGGGTCACAGAGGAACTAAGAGGTGGAGAATCCAGCCCCAGGGGTGGGTGGGGCCCTATCTCTTAAATCTGAGACCTCTAGTGGCTTATCTTGAGAGCTTGGAGCAGTCAACCTAGGTTTATTAAGTGCCTACTGAATGCAGCGAGGCTGTCCCATCACATAGCCCAGATATTATTTTTCCCATTTTACAGATGAGGAAGCTTCAGGCCCAGGAAAAATGACAGGATGTCCCACTGGTAAAAGACTTCAGAGGCCATTTATCTATTCCAGCCCATACCTGCACACAAGTGCCACCTGCCTCATTCCCAACAAGCTCTCTTTCTGCCTCTGCTTTCAGACTTCCGTGATGGAGAGCTCATCACCTCCCTGATGCAGATTGCTCCCAGGTCTGCTCTCCGGGGCTCTTTTCCACAGGACAGACACAAAGCCAGCATCTCTCCCACTCTCCAGGGTATCTATGCCCAGTGCCTGCAGCTGGTCCCTCCCATAGATGACATGGGCCAGAGGAAGCCTTTTCCTATACTGAGTGTTCTTCTCTGGATGCTCAAGCTTACCTGGTGACCTGCCCAACCAGCCAAAGCCAATTCTTCTGGCCCCCAACCCACCAGCCTTGGTCCTGTCCTGGGCTTGGAGAGAGAAGGCCTGGCCCAGCATGGCCTTGCCTTGGGGCCTTGGGCAAGTCTGTCACCCTAGAGGCCTCCCAGTCCTATTCTGGAAATCTGGGTGACAGGACCAGTCTTGGGCCTGAGGTTGGACTATCCCAGGCCCAAACCCCTTCTCTTACTTACAGACAACTCCAGGGTTCTAGGCCAACCTAAGGGAAGCTTCTTGGCCAGTTACACCTCCCTTCCCCTCAGCTCTCTGATGGCAGCCAGGGCAGCCATATGGTCATTCATTCATTCATCCATCCATAGGCATTTCCTAAGCACTTGTAATGTACCGGCATGGTGTTAGGTGTGGTAATATAGTCTTCTGTCTTGCCTTCAGGGGACTTACATTTTTATAAGTACAAAGTATAGTCAGAGATTGGGCTGGGTGGGAGTGGGAGGGTATTCACTAATTGAGGCATCAGGACAGGATGTTCTTGGAGCTAGCAGCTATTTCAGTAGTCCAGGGGTGATGAGGGCCTGCACCAGAGTGGGCAGTCAGAGGAAAGGAGGAGGGGTATTGGAGAGATGACAGGAAGGTAACATCTACCAGAGATGTGGCAGCGGTAAAATTGACAAGAAGTGTGACAGAGTTGAAATAGACAAGAGATGTTGCAGAGGTGGAAAAGATATAAGAGAGGTAGAATTGAGGAAAGGTCTAACAGAGATGGAATTGACAAAAGATGTTGCAGAGGTGAGACCACAGGCTGCCTGGACATCTTGGATATGAAAGTGAGAGATAGTGAGGAGTCCAGGCTGACTCTGAGGCTGGGAGCCTGGCTTGGTTCCGTTGGAAGAACATGGTGCCCTGGACAGAAATAGGGAAGCTAAAAAGAGGGGAGGGTTTAGGGGAGACCTCTTTCTTTCTCTGGATGTATATTGGTCTTCCCTGGCCTCACATCTCATTGACCCCACTGGACCAATTCTGGCAGATGGAAGAGCCTTAACCATAGCTGTGCAGCAGTGGTAGAGGGCAGAGTCAGAGGATCTGGGTTCAAATTCTGTGCAACTCTGGGCAGGCAGGTCATTTCCCCTGCCTAGGCTTCTGTTTCCTCATCTGCAACATGAGGAATCTCTAGCATCCTTTAAAAAAAATTAACAATTTTATTCAAAATTTTGAATTCCAAATTCTATCCATCCCCTCTCCCCTTTCTGAGATGATAAGCAATCAAATATAGGTTACACATGTACAATTACACAAAACATTTCTATATTAGTCATTTTGTACAAGAAGACTCAAATACAAGATTTCAAATAAATGAAAGAAAGAAAGTGAAAACTAGCCTGCTTCGCTCTGTATTCAGTCAATATCATTTTTTTTTTCTGGAGGCAGATAGTATGCTTCATGAGTTCTCTGGGATTGTCTCAGATCATTGTATTGCTGAGAATGGGCTGGCACCCCTTTCTACTCTGCTCTGAGTTCCACAGCCTCCAGGGGCCACCTTAGTATTTGCCATCCCATGCTCACTTCTCGTGCATCTCTGATGGGCAGACTAAACAGGAGTGACTGCCCAGCCTAGACTGCTGTAGTCTTGGATGCTGGTGCTAGCTGGGGTCAGCAAATGATTTGTGTCCTCCAGTCTAGGGAGGAGGGAAGCCAGGTCTCCTCCTCCGTGCCCCCAGGACCTGTTTTTCCCTCCCTCCTGTGAGAGGCCTGGAAGCCTCCCTGCCCAGGAAAAGAATGTGACTCGGCAGGATGGGTGGAGGTGGTGAGGAGGTATCAAGGTGTCCCTGAAACTACCTGTGTCTGGGCCAGGGCCAAGGCAGGGGTTGAGTGTGAGGGCAAGGGGCCAGTGAGGACTTCCAGCAGTTGGATTTTTTTTAAGGCAATTGGGACTAAGTGACTTGCCCAGGGTCACACGGCTAGTAAGTGTCAAGTGTTTGGTCTGAGGCTAGATTTGAACTCAGGTCTTCCTGACTTCAGGGCCAGTGCTCTATTCACTGCTCCACCTAGCTGCCCCTATGGGCTTTTCTTGTTTCTCCATTTTACCAACTGCCTCTGAAATGATGGGCAGCTAAGGTGGCTCAATGGATAGAGCATGGGACCAGGAGTCAGGAAGACCCGAGATAAAATCTGGCCTCAGATGCTTAATAGCTGTGTGACCCTGGGCAAGTCACTTCACCCTGTGTGTCTGTTTCCTCATCTGTAAAGTGAGTTAGAGAAGGAAATGGCAAACCACTCCAGTATCTTTGCCAATAAAACCCCAAATGGATATGAATAGGCAGTTTTGAGATGAAGAAATCAAAGCTATCTATAGTCATAGAAAAAATGCTACAAATTAAAACAACCCTAAGGCACCACATCACGCCTATGATAAATGTTGGAGAAGATATGGGAAAATTAGAAAGCTACTGCATTTTTGGTGTAGTTGTGAACTGATTTAACCATTCTGGTGAGTAATTTGGAACTATGCCCAAAGAGCTATAAAAATGTGCATACCC